AAGTGTGCTTCCTGTGAAAAACTGTCCAGTCTTGAGAACACAAGCTTCAAAACAATTAAACTGAGATAACCAACATAAGTAACAACACATCTGAACAAAACTTTGAAGCTCACAACTACAGCAATAATCTGCCTACAGCTTAGTTATCAAACTGAAAAAAATAGTTTACAGCAGCCTGAGGGAAAAGAAAACAAAACACTGAGGATCTCACAAACAATGGCTGTCTTACTATGTAGAAGTAGGACCTACAGAGCGAGTGTTCAAACTCTGTGTTCTTTACTGAAGTATACACCTCTCCTCCATCCCCTAGCCCTCATCCCCCCTAGAGTGAGGAGTTCTGCCCCAGTTTTAAGCAGAGAGCTTCTCACAGGACTTTATCCAAAAGTTTCAACATGATTTTCAAGTTTAAAACCTTTAACAGTATACTTGTACAATACCACCAAATGGAATGCATATTTCACTCTGACTCGCATTGAGCATAATAAATATTCTTAAGTGTTAAAAAAAAGACCTCACTAGACAGGAGCCAGCCCCCTCCTTCAGTAAACTGGCATTTACATGATTAAGCATGGAATGAGCATGACCACAAGCTTAATACAGTGGTACGACTTGATACTGGTAGAAAAAGCAACTGCTTATTGAGCAGCAGCTATCAGATAATGATTGTCTACATCAGTTATTTGGTACAACAGGCACAGCAACAGCAAATCAATCCTGTAGATGTTTCTTGCCCTGAAAATTAGTAGTTTTTTCTAATGACCTTAGAAACAGCAATAAGAGTTAGCATCAGCAGATTCACTAATCAAAGAAGGTCTTTTGAAAGTTTCTGCATGCAGTCAATACTTGGTATTTGCCTGCCTAAAGCATCTATGTTTACTAGTGCTGTTTACCAGATCCACTGGCTTTCCTGTTGCCTGTCATAATATACTTATTTTGGTAGAAGTGTTAAATCAAATAGTACTATAAATGCAAAGGCACCTCCATCACACCATTAAAATCTTTCTCCAACACGACCTCCCCATGTGTTAGACTTTTAAAATAAGGGACAACAGATTATTTGTAACCAAGAGCAAAAAAGTGTTTGCTTTGACTCCCTCTAATGCTAAGGTTCCCCCCTCCCACCCCCAGAATAAGCCAACTGAAGCATTAGAAAAGTTCCCAAAAGGGGAATGATTTAAAAGTTTGGGTAGCTATAATCTAAAATCCTCTTCAAATGTTATGGCTCCAACAATACACCCCATTGTGAGGTAGGTAGCCAAGATAAAAATATTCTAAGAAATATTTTAACAGATGGAAACTCCCTATAAAAGCCTTGCATAAGTAGTTTGGTTCCTTGCACCAGGGTCCTGATATGCGTAACTTCTTTTGAAGATGCCTAAGGGAATCCAAATTCACCGAGCTCTTGCTGAGTAGCATCTCATATACTCTGTCATCCAAGGGTTATCTGGTGGGGAGGGCTTAATCTGCCAAGCTTTCTCTGCTTCTGCTGATCGTACTCGCCTCTGAGAAAGCTTCCTTTTCTCCACTTGTCTCCTGTTCTTTGCTCGTAGAGCAGATTCGTGAATCTAAAAGACCAGAGTTAGTATTACAGCAGGAAAACAGCCTAGGAACAACCCAGGAAAGCTGAGGATGACTTTGTATTTGTCCCAATCCCCATCCTGAAGAAACAAAGCTTGCTAGCAAGATTGTTCTCATCTGTAATTTGTACCGTAACAGAAGAGAAGCAGAGATTTTTTTTTTAAAGAACAGCCCTCAAATTCTATTCTGTGTTCTTTCACACTTCACACTATAAACCAATCCAAAAAGTCTTGAATGTTTCCATGTCTTACTCTGACATACTCGAAAAAGCTCAATTTTTCTATTTCTACCATTCTAAATTCTTAAACATCCCTCACTACGCCAAAGCATCCCTTAAAACCTAAGCTGTAGTAGTAAGACCAGTCCCTGTAAGTAGTAAGTAAGACCAATCCTTACTAGAGACTGAAGAACTTGATTTTGACAACATGCTGCAGGCACACCTACATATATTTTTATATTAAGAAATTATCACATTTTCCCAAATCTAATCTTAGAAACAAGCAAACACAGAAGATGGCTCTTATCTTCAGATTTAAAACTGTCTCCCATCTCAATTAGGGGAAAGGAAGTCCTCTCAAACATTCCAGAAAAGTGACCTAGACAGGCAGTAAGTAGCCAGTTCCCACTTAAACACCCTTAGTGCCAAAGCATAACATCATCTGAAGTGTTTCAGAAGTGTCCTGCCCATTCACTCTGAATTAAAGATCTGATCTTAGGGGTTCTGTAACTGTTTCTACCATCAGAAATGTTGGAAGTCTTAGGAAGCATAGATATCTCTGCTCAAGTCAGGCATCAGCCTCTGTTAGGTTTCAATATAAAGCACCAGTCAAGTATTGCCACTACTGACCACTACTGATAAGTCCAATAACAGAGTCCGTTATCAGGAAGGGCAGCATCTTCTAAGAACTGCAAGGCCCAAAGTTCCTCATTACCCTCAACAGGTTGAGCTGTGCAAGCAGGACAAGACTATGCTTCAAACCCCTTCCAGAACAGCCCGTCAGAAGTCAGCTCTATCTTAACACATAAAAACCACAACTCACCTTAATTCTCAGATATCTCGGGTCATAGATTCAATCTCTGCATAAGTAGTAAGAGAAAGACAAGACACTGGCAAGGGCACAGCAGCCCAGGAGAGTTATAGAAAAGGAACTGATCTGTTACGACACTCCAACCTTAGTGGTTCTTGCTAAGCCAGGAAATAAACCCCACTACAGCAGAATCCTGGTGCTTTCCACAACCATATAAATTTTATTTGTGCTTTGCCACTAGTATTTACATCCCCACAATCCATCAGCCATCCAATAGACCATTCCACTGGCAGCAAAAAGTTCCCTGCTGGCAACCTGCTGAAGCAGGCTGCTGCACAGACATTTTAGCATCAAACCATCCGTATCTTTTCAGTGAGGCTCCTATATCTAAGAAGTGCCCCAGCAAAAGTCACTCTTCCACAGCACAAGCACTACCTGCCTGCCGTGGGATGCCTGGTGCTAACTGCCTGCTGCTTTTCTCTTGTTTTCATGAAGTTTAGAATGCAGAAACACATTTAGAACAGCCACTTTTTCTGGTAGCGCTGTAACAGCTAAAACAAAATAGTCAAGTTTTAATCAGGGCTTACAAGTGTTAGTCAAACATGGGAAGTTTCAAAACCAATTAACAGTTAAGAGCTATTTGATTTGGACATATCAAATCTTTTTCAGGTTTATTGCTAGATTTAAAAAAAAATTTATTGTTAGAATCTCCACTCGAAGGCATTCCTAAGACATTTTACTACATATTAGACATATCTTATCCAGGCATTAAGTAGTCACCGCCTTTTAATGAAAAACTTTTACTTACTTCATTCACTGAAGCAGAAGCACAGACATTGTGAGTTTTCTGGCTTCCAGTATCTGTCTGTCTTTCTCCCCACCCATACAGAGCAAATGGATGTTTATTCTCCTTTGGTGCATCTGTCTTTTGAGGACTTTTGGCTGATCTTCGATCATTACGACTGGACAAGGCACTTCGACTTGGACGTCGTCCTGTACCGCTGGTTTTGTCTGCTTCCTTTACAGAAGTGTGTTCTACAGTTTTTTCTTGCTCTTCCCTCAGCTGCTTTTCTTGTTCTTCTCTTTCTTTCTCTAAAGAAAAAAAAAAGTTATGCTTTAAGCTCCCAATGACAACATACTAATGTCTGATTTGCACAGTCTCTCTTAATACATCATTGAAGCTTTGCTTTTTTTAGAAATGGAAGAAGTGACTAGTTCCCTTGCAACAGATATACACCCTGCTTAAATGCTTCATTCTTTCTTTAGTGACTACAGTATTTCTGAGCCCATCCCTCTGTACATCGGCTTTCACATACTTAAACATGCCTTTCACTAGTGAGGCTATAGACAACAAAAGGCTCCAGGCAGTATTTGAAAAAGTGATCTTCCATCTTCACTATTTCATCCTTCCATCTTTCAGACAGCAAACAGATGGACTGCTGTATGCCAGGAGATGCTGCCAGCCAGCCAGAGATGAAATCTGATTATGTGCAGTATTAAATCCCTCATGTTATAAGCTCCCACTGAAATAAAGAAGTGATTCATTTTCAGACTCACTGTGATTATACATACATCTTGATTATGGTTTTCTGTTTATGAAGGAGAGGGGAGTACAAAGCAAAGACAAATCAATAATCAACCTTTCTATCTGTTCTGTGATTTATGTTTTATATTTAAAAGTATCAAATTCTACTATATGAGGAAAAGCTAAGAGAGCTGAGTCTGTTTAGCCTGCAGAAGAGGAGGCTGATCTCATAAATGCTTGTAAATATCTAAAGGCTAGGTGTCAGGAAAATGGGACTAGACTCTTCTCAGTGGTGTCCAGTGACAGGACAAGGGGCAATGGTCACAAACTGGAAAACAGGAGGTTCACCCTAAAAATAAGGTAATATTTACTGTGAGGGTAACGGAGCCCTGGCACAGGCTGCTCATAGAGGTTGTGGAGTCTCTGTCTCTGGAGACTTTCAAAACCTACTTGGATGTGTTCCTCTGTGTTCTACTCCAGATGATCCTGCTCTGGCAGGGAGGTTGGACTAGACGATCTCCAGAGGTCCCTTCCAACCCCTAGCATTCTGTGGCAATACTCCAAGACTCATTTCCCATTCACCCCCACCCCACTTCATAAAACCTTCCATAACAAGGGTCCAGCATTTGTCCTCCAGGCACCAGGTGTGTAGAGCAGGGTTTGTGAAAATGTAGTTAAAGCGTGTATCACTGTTAACTTGCAGATGTAGATTAACACCGAAGGCTGAATCAGCATTATACAAGATATTAAATAATAAAAACAGGGAAGCAACTGTTCCATAAGATCCAATCTCCTTGCATTATAGAGCTAAGGAGGAACTAGCTTTCCTTTATTTGTGGTGCCCTCAGAGCTAGCAGTTCTTGCTATTGCTGCATACTACTACTTATGTGCAAAAATGTGGGGTGTGGATTTCAGATAAAGGAAGCCAATATCTGATATAGCACTGCAATACTTTATAAATCTAAGAGAAAAGTTGGTAAGAAAGTCATGCATTATAATAAGGTTACAAGTTGTTTTGATCGAGTTGTTTCATAACATCATTAAATACAATCAATGAATGCCCATAGATAACAATCACTGACTGGAAGAAAATTGCCAAAGTTTCTCACCTTTGAGATCTGTAAGGTGTTACAAACTGGTGACAAGGTCTGGAGCTATTCTGTTAACACTAACCTGATCTAAACTAACAACTTTATCAGTGATCTGGACAAGGAGATCAAGCACACCCTCAATAAGTTTGCAGATGACACCAAGCCGAGTGGGAGTGTTGATTTGCTTGAAGGTAGGAAGAGTCTTCATAGGGATCTGGTCGGGCTAGATGGATGGGCCGAGGCCAATTGTACAAGGTTCAACAAGACCAAGTGCTAGGTCCTGCACTTGAGTCACAACAACCCCAGGCAGCACTACAGGCTTGGGGCAAAGTGGCTGGAGAGCTGCCCAGCAGAAAAGGATGTGGGGGTGCTGGTGGACAACTGGCTGAATACAAGGCAGCAGTGTGCCCAGGTAGCCAAGGCCAACAGCATCCTGGCCTGTATCACAAATCACATGGCCAACAGGACCAGGGCAGTGATTGTCCCCCTGTACTCAGCACTGGTGAGGCCACACCTTGAATCCTGTGTTCAGTTTTGGGCAGACAGACATTGAGGTGCTGGAGCATGTCCAAAGAAGGGGAACAAAGCTGGTGAAGGGTCTGGAGAACAAGTCTTATGAAGAACAGTTGAAGGAACTAAGATTTAGTCCAAAGAAGAGAATGCTGAGGAGAGACCTCCTGCCTGAAAGGAGGTTGTAGTGAGGTTGGATCAGTCTCTTCTCCCAAGTAACAAGTGATAGGACAAGAGGAAATGGGCTCAAATTGCACCAGGGCAAGTTTAGATTGGATATTAGGAAAAAATTCTTTACTTGAAGAGTGGTAAAGCATTGGAACAGGCTGCCCAGGGAAGTGGTGGAGTCATCATCCCTGGAGGTGTTCAAAAAAACATAGATGTGGCACTTCAGGACGTGGCTTGGTAGTCATTGTAGTGTTGGGTTGATGGTTAGACTTGATCTTAGAGGTCATTTCCAACCTTAATGATTCTATGAGGTGCTGGAGCATGTCCACAGAAGGGCACAGCTGGTGAAGGGTCTGGAGAATAAATCTTATGAGGAGTGGCTGAGGGAACTGGGGTTCTTCAGTCTGGATTAAAAGAGGCTCAAGTCAGACCTTAAGACTCTCTACAACTACCCAAAAGGAGGTTGTAGCAAGGTGTGGGTGTGTGTGGGTGTGTGTGGGGGCAGGGGCGGAAGGGAGGCAGTCTCTTCTCCCAAGTAAAAAGTGATAAGAGGAAATGGCCTCAAGTTGTGCCAGGGGAAGGTTTAGATTTGATTTAGTCACCAAAAAGGTTGTCAAGCATTGAAACAGGCTGCCCAGGGAAGTGGTGGAGTCACCACCCCTGGAAGTATTTGTGTAGATGTGGCACTTGCAGACATGATTTAGTGGTGGACTTCGCAGTGCTGTATTTACAGCTGGATGCCACCTTAAAGGTCTTTTCTAGCCTAAATGATTCCATGATTCTGTAATGATTCTCCAATTCTAATCTACTACTTAGAGTACATTAGTGAAATATGACTTTGGCAAAATGTAAATACACAGAACACTATTTTAGTTCTCCAGCCTGCACATCTTCAATAGCAGTGTGGACAAGTTGGAAGTGTATGCTAGACATTGAACATGGCCCCTAAGTATTGTGTGCTCAAGCAGACACTGTGATCTGAAATCTCCAACTTTTAGGCCAGCCATGCATTTTATATAAAGTGCGACTAAAGCCTTTTATTAACCTAACTGCCCAGCAGTCCTCTAGTGATTCCCCTCAAGTGTCTAGGCACAAAGTGGTATTTTCAAACTCTGCTGATATAAACATGCTGAACTTGCAAGTTTTCTGCCACACCATCTGTTTCTGGTTGCAGTAGGGATCAGCTGCAAGCTACTTCTCAGTGCTTTCAGCCACTACCAGCATACACTGGTACGGACAGAGGGAATTCCTCCACTGGCATAAGGCTTCATCTAGTTTAAGCCTTGCTTACATAGTGAGGTTGACCACAAACAACTGGAATAGATTTTATCTAAGTGTCTTCAATAAAAGCAGAAGGCTTGTCACTCCTGTGACAAAATAGCAATCATTCTTGCTAATTGCTACAATTTAGACAGTCAAGTACATGCTCAATGTGACACTCTTTTAATTTTGCTTCTGCATCCATCCAGCTCTGATGAAATGGAAGTCACCTGCCTGGCACACTGGTTAAGCATCCAGTTAAGCACCCATTTATTCTTGCACTCACTTTGCACTTGTACAGTAAGGACATGAAGGCTTACCCCAATGCCTCAGCATTCTCTTTTGCTAGCCTTTGGCCTCATCAGCACATTTCCAGCTTGGTGCCAACCAGCACAGACACCCTGGTGCTGGGCCTTGTTCAGACTTGCCTATATGCAAGTCTTCCAAACTGTGCAAGTGCAGCACTGAGCTACAGATGATATACCAGTGCAGCTGAGTATTTGGTTAAGAGTAGCCAGCAACATTAAAGTATTTGGAGCTGTATTTGTTAAGAATTCAGCTGAGTGCCTCCACAAAACCACCAAGAAGAGTAGCTGAGACAAAGCAAGAACAAAAAAGAGCCAGATGAATTTCACATATCTAGATATTGGTTTCAGTTATTATAGCCATGGCAGGATAAAAGGCAAGCAGCAGTTACCTAAATGCAATAAACAATCTGCTTTATGTAGTGTCCTGGGCTCTGGAACACACAGCTTCACCTCTAACAAGGCAGCTCATTCATCAGTGTCGTGATTTGACCCTGGCCGGCAGCCAGGTACCCACACAGCCGCTCTCTCACTCCCCCTTCTCCACTATACCAGGGGAGAAAATATTTCAAAGGGCTTAAGGTTTGAGATAAGGACAGGGAGATCATTTTCATTTACTGTCCTGGGCAAAACAGACTCAATTTTGGGGAAATAAATTACATTTATTAAGAGAACAATTCAGAGAGGAGTAGTGAGAAGTAAGAAAAACCAAACAGATCTTAAAAGCAAAACACCTTCCCCCCATCCCTCCCTTCTTCCTGGGCTCAAGATCAATCCCGGTTTCTCCATCTCCTCCCCTTGAGCGGCACAGGGGGACAGGGAAGGGGGTTTACGGTCAGTTCATCCGATGTTGGTTCCACCGCTTCTTCTTCACTCCGGGGGAGGACTTTTCACTCTTCCCCAGGGTCATTGTGGGGTCCCTCTCACGGGAGACAAGCTTCACACTCTCTTCTCCAACGTGAGTCGTCCCACGAAGGGCAATTCATCACAAACTGCCCAACGTGAGACACCTCA